AGATATGTGATAACAATTTTGAAAAAAAACTTGCAAAAACTTTATGAATTACAATTAAAGCATCGGTTACGTTTTTTTTTCATAATATTTCATCATTTGACTTTCGATTATCATTTTTTTTTAATGGATAAGATGTAGAAAACTATAAGATATCAAAACTCTATTAGTTTTTCAATGAACTTCGAACATCATTTAGATAGAATTTGAGTGAAAAGAAATCAAAAAAAGTTTTATTCTAATTCAAGAAAAAAATAATACTCATCGTAGCATAACAACTAATAATAAGAACAAATTGTTTATTATGTCTAATTAGCTTTTTTCAATGATCATTTGTTGCGTTTCATTTGATTCATTCTTATTTGGGGTGTGGGTGTGGTCAATCGCATATCCACACCCACACCCTTTTCAAAAATTCGGTAATTCGACAAAGTTTCTTTCCACTTCGATCAACGAAGTTATAATGTCAATAATTGTGCTATTTGAGATTTCAATGTCTCATTCAATGACCTTGTCTATTTGATAAAAAGAAGACTTGATGGATTGATCATCAGCAGAAAGCCACTTCGAAGAAATGTCTTGGATTAATCTGGAGATATGGAACGAAATCTTGCCGATTCATACAATCATAGTCGATGATTCGAGCTCTATGTCAGACCATGAGTGATTGTGAATGATATCATTTGGACAGACAAATTGTTTAGTATTCTATTATGTTTTCATATATTTTCAAATTTGGCTAGCACGAAAGACGAAAGCAAAATTTCTTTCCCTTCAAAATGACTGTTAAACGCTACTACTTTATTTAACTATTGTAAAGAACACGACAAAAATTGTTCTATTTATGATTGAGTAATTTTTTGTGAATTTAGTATGTATAACTTCCATTAATATTTCGAATGAAAGAGAATAATAGCATAAATACTTATTGATTGAAATGACTTTTCACTTTCAATGCATACCGAAAGAAAATTTAGTCCATTCAACAGTCATGTTACTTTCAATTTGGCTGTGAGTGTGGACGAGAAGAAGATCCACACCAACACCCAGAATTAGATTGATTAGAATTAGCTATTGTAGAACGACTAATTTTGTGTATATTTATGTGAATTAATAATTTTTTTCCAATTTCTTCAAGACCAATTCCGATCAAGTCCGAAAATTGGAGTTGGTGCGTTCCTATTTCAGCTGATCGAAGAAGAATATCTTTTCGCTTGTAATACTTTCGTTGTATTTTGTTATCCGGATGATCTTTGATGCATCGCTTGAATTTGATGATCAACTATTCAAGAAATTCTCTGTTTTTTATCAAGTTTATTCAATTTTAATGAAAATTCTCCTAATCTGTTATTATTCGATTAGAACTGTGCGGGAAACATTTTTTAGAGTTTCTAGGTAATTGTGGGATTCCAGTTCTTCGCCAATAAGACTTTCGTCAATTGGTGCAAGTGTAAATATCCATTGAAGAAAGTACTGTAGACTTTCGCCAATTGGCGAATATCCAGAAGATGAATTGGCGAAAATCTTAGCGGCGAAGAGCAATATTAGTCATACTATCTTCATTTTTGAACAATGTTAAAGAACAATATGTTCCATTCATTAATGATGAGAAAAGATAATCAATGTGATTTCAAGCAAAATTATCTGAATAGATCAAACCAAACATAAAACTTCCTTTTGGTGATAAATTATAATCAATAATACCTGAATTAATGAATTCTACTGTTTGTCAGCTGGTACATTGACTGTTTTTAAAACGGTTGGTTTTTGTGTGAAATATGTAAATTCAAATCGTACAATTCGTGTTATAGTTAGAGAACTACTTGACTTGAATGACCTTACAATATGTTTTCAATCAGTGGCAGCAGCTGGAACTTCTTGAGATAAAACAATAATTTTTTGCTGAAATAGTTCATGATTTTCGAAGGATGAATATTGTTGAAATTCGTTCCTGGTAAGATCATTTCGAGTTTAAAATAGGATAACATTTGATTTTTCTGTGAAATAGTTGTAACACCACGAATAAAACGTAAAGTATTCGATGCAATCTTATTGCTTTTGGGGTGTGCATTTGGGTGTAGGTGGGGTCAGCGGGTAGATCTGGGTGTGTGTCGTCTTTTTGTCTACACCGAAACCCAAAACTCACATTCACATCCACACCCTAATAATAAGTTTATGGGATTTTGTTAGACAAAATTTTATTTCGAGTTTTTTACCAACTCAGTATGTTGTTGTCCGAGTCATTTAAGCGAGAATTAATAATGTCCGGACCGATCAGGAGTTTTCTCTTCAACAACTTCAATAGTACCATTTTGAGTTCGTACTAGAATTGAGAAAATCTCAAAAAAAAAAGGATATATGTCTAAAGCAAACACGTAAAATTAATTTCATGTTAAATTAAATTGTTTAACCCTAGTGAGAAATTCAATGAACACGAACAATATTTTATGAATTTTACATTCTTTTGTTAATTAAAATGCAATATAGAGAATGATACAAGAGTTCTTCATCGATTTTTTATTCAATATATCGTCACAAAAATTCATCGGAGAGGGTTGATAGGATTTGGGTATGGACACATCTATCTTTCAATTACACTGTAACCCTATTCTATACGTTTTCTACATTTCAATGTACTGACATTCATGTTAAGTCTTTATTTTAAAATGAATGATTTTCATTATGTAGTTAGCAATGGAGAAACTTCATTTTCCTGTTCGCATTCATCTTTTAATGATTGAGATGTGATCTCGCCAAACAAGACACCAAAGAAGGTAAGTGCATTTAGGACGAGGAAAACAACGACAATGAGCAGTTGATATTGTAGATCCAACGAGCCAGCATAGAAAAAGGATATCGCTGCGGCTATGCCCTAGAATTAAATCAATGCCGAAATATAGTACATAAATGATTGATACCTGAACAAGTTGAAAAAGAGCAAAAGCTGATGCACTTGTGCTTTTAAATCGACTAGCCAATACACTGAACAACTAAAATAGACAACTATCTTTACGATCAATAGAAAAATACAGAGCCACATACCTGTGTATTTAATGCACTATCACCAAGTCCCACCACAAAAGAACCGACGAAAGCGATAATTTGACTTGATGATGAGCTAATAAAAACGAAAAGAAATCCATGACTAATTTTCCTATTATAAATCATGCCTAACCTAAATTGAAAATATGATTCAATATTAGTTTCACGTGCTGGTGCATCGGCAGGAAAGTTGATCCAGGCAGAATAATAAAATACAATTTGTAGAAAGAATCCAATCAAAATTACTAGAGCACATTGAGATGATGTTTTCGGTTTGGTAACAAATCCAAACAATCCACCGCCTACTATTTCGCCAATGCCCAAAAGTACACCATGCAAACCAATGAGTCGTTTTCGAGTATCTATAAAAATTAATTTCTTTTTTCATGGCTATGAATTAGAATAGCTTACTTCCATATTTGATTGAGTGTCCAATGCAAGTGGCATAGACTGTTTGAAAGAATGTTTGTGAGAAACCTTTCAAATATACATGATAATGAAAAATACAGCATTATTAATGTCAACGATTTCGCGTTTGACACATATTTTTAGGCGTAATGCAGTCTCATAAACACGTTGACTAGTTGACATTTTTTGCGTACTTCAGAATTAATATTATAACTCAACTATACCTTAATGGAAAATATGTAAAGTCCTGGAAAAAAATATTTATTTTTCGATTAGAGTTGTTTTAGCAATATCTACTGTTGATCAATTGAAAACTGCTTTAAACAAGAAAAAAGAAAAAAAATTGATATAAAAACGCAAAAGAACATTGTTGGCAGAAATATCAAATCGTGAAGATTTTTGTACATTACAAATAGTTCAATGATACTTTTCAAGATATAAATAGTCTTGTTTGACAAGCAAATCTTTGTCCTACTGTTGCACACTATTACAGATAGCCTACCATGATTTCATGTAAAGCAAAAATTAATTTTTAGAAGTTCCAAGAAAAGCTAAATTCATTTTGACAGAAATATTAGTACGAGTTCAGATGACTGAAATCTTAAATATCATACTTTGAGTTAGCAGTTGATGTATTAAAATCAGATTCCATGTTATGAGTTATGGACGTCAAGAAGTCGAAGTGTTTTTAAAAACCGATTGACCCAAAATAAAGATTCGGGCTAACATTTGATTTAACAATAGTTTTGTTCTCTGAATTTTTTGTTTATTTAGGTAAAAAGTATAACTGATTTACAAACGAAACAAATTTTATTTTGCATCTCCATTACTGGTGAGTGAGTGGTTATATAATTACGGATCTGAATTTTGAAATGACAACTTTGAAATTGAGATCTGAGGATCTTATGCCTAAATGAGCACTTATGTTACTTTTAATAATAACATTTAGAACGTTTACAATTTATTAATGAAGTTTGATCAAAAGCTTTGAGTATGATAAGTTCAGCTCCAAAGTGAATTATTTCAGTTTAGGATTCAAATCTAAAAATTACTCGAAAATCTTTAGTAAAACTTTATAAATAAGTTTTAAAAGTTCTAGATATCATTATTAAAAGGAAAAGAAGTACACAATTAACGACGAGAGTCTCAATGATTCAAAAATTTGAATGATGATAACTTTCAGATGTCAATAAATCTATATCTGGTACCTGTATAGGCGAATGGAATTAACAGCAGAAGCATATTTCGTGTTCTTAACAGTCTTACGGCAATATTCAACGTTTCAACGACATCACTTAGAGCTGTTTTTCTTTTAACAGGCTCTAGTTGTAATTGTTGTTGGCGTCGTTCGATTAGCCATCGCCAGATAATATATGCATATATCGCAAGAGCAATGGCACATACCACTGAGAAGACAGTGAAGAGTGGATATCGAGTTGATCGGGTAATGACGTCAGCTTTGAGCGACAAATAAACATAGAGATTGCCACCAAGAAGACTGATCAGAATTGAACAAAAGCAATAGAATGAAATGAAAAGATACATAGTGATGAGAAATGAGGAATCCGAACTGAATTTTGAGACTTTATAAGACCTTAATTATGTTCAGATAATGAAAACGATTCTTTTTAGAAGACTTATATTTCTGACTCTGAAAGACAGAAACGGGTAAGTCTTCACTTTTCTGCCGCTTAAAGACAACTTGTTAGATCAAAAAATCAGTTAATTGAAATCAGAATTTTTCACTCTATTCGAATATACGCTTCGAGCTTCTCTCTAGCCTTGAAATGATCAACTATCAGTTATTTTTTTTGAAAAGGTCTGGAGTACTGCCTGTACAAAGTAAAATAGTGATTTTCCCGCAATCATTAGTTTCTTTATTTTGGATCTTGAAACTGCTTTAACTCGACATTATTGTAGAGCATTGAATTTGGTACAAAATGAAATATTAGAATAAACAAAATCTCAAATCACTAAAAAGCGATGTGCTTCTAGTGGGAATCTACTTTGTTTCTATGCAATCCGGTATTTGTCAAAAACCACTTTTAAAAATAAAGAAGTTTTAAAATATTTGATGTGACATCAAACAAGAAAGTAAATCACATGTTGTGTAGAGAAAATTTTGCTTCACAAAACTGAACTATTGAAAATTATTTCATATTTTGAATCCTTTCATAAAAGCTTTTAATAATTGACCAACCTTACTCCAGAAGAAAATTAAGAACATATGTTCTAAAAGAGCAAAAGATTCTGACACTATATAACTGCTTTTGACTCTAACAAGTTGTCTTCAAGTTTTATACAACGATTTTCGCGCCATAGGTTAAATTCATTAATTAAATTCATTAGACAAAGTTATTTCACATTGGCAGTTTATAACAATTCTGAGGAAAGATTAATTGTGTGTACTCTAAAACCACCGAAACTATGACTTAAGCACGAGGCTAATCGAAAATAGAAATAATACTACTAGTAGTCATCTTCGAAGAACTGATTGCAGTTGCTCTAACGAGAAGGTATTACAAGTTATTTCCAAATATGAAAAGACATAAATAACAATAGGAGGATGATGCAAAACATTGGCGCAAAGTTTCACATGTACTAGCCAGTTATGAATAGCATCAACATAGCTTATTTGGACAAATGCATTCACATTATCCATTACATAGAAACTAACTGTTATCGATAAGTTCATCTTTGCTTTTATGAAACCCAGGTCGATGATTCCACCTTCCGGATTCGCTCGAACAACATATGGAAAAAGAAACAGTATTCTGGACCGGAAAACACGATATCGGGACCCTTACTATTCCTGACAAATCTACTGACTGGAATCAGCTTGGGAAACCACTGGATATGAGCGGGAACTCCTTAGAAAAACAACCGTATCCTACCAGGATCTCTCCAGCAACCGAGCATATTCCGGCGGAACCCCACTGGAAACCGTGGAAAACGAATAAAGTATCCCGCATTCAGAAACGATCGGAAACTGACATATGAATCCGGTAAAATCCCTTCTGAATCCTGTGCTTGAGTTCCCACCGTTTTCCCGTTACTTCCAGTCGATTTCCACCAAGTTAAAATCACTTCCAGACTGTCCACAAGCAAAAATCAAACATCAAAATCTAAACAGACCATTGGTGATGAAAGTCCCACTAAGAAAAATATATCAGACCGATTTCTCAAACCATTTAAAAGGTAACTTAGCCCCAACAAATACATTACCATATTTACTAAACCCAAACTCACAGCGCAACATATCCAAAGAAAAACATTTCTCATCAACCCATAGGCACATTCAAAAAATTCCCGCCAATATATGTCCTCTAAAATTTTTCCATCCAATTCATTTACATGCATTTAGCACTGATTCATAAACCACCATCACATCACTTATTTCAACAACGACCTCTTGCCAAGCTGCTGTTTTCAACTGAATCTTTAATCGATTTTAAATCCTATTTGGAATCACTGTTCAGAGATCATATTTTCCGGAGTTGGTTTTCTCGAAAAAATTTAAGACTGATTTAGATGAATTTTAATCTGTTGCCGCTCAGTACTTCGAGGCATATGTTTTGTAAAGTATGTGTTTTCGAAAAGGATTTTTAGTGGATTCAAAAATAGATTTTCAATTGAGTCTGAAGTTTCTTATTAAGCAACGGCTGTGGGTAACGTGCTTATTTTAAAAAGGAGTTTGAGATCGTTTTGTTAGGGTCAGTCATGGAATCTCTGTTTGGAAAGAGAATAGGAATCGGTAGGATTTCATGCGTATCCTGTTGTCAGGAACCGTGCCGAAAACGAGTACGGTAACCGTTGATAGATTCCGGTCTCGTGAATTCGCAGGAATCAAGCGGAACACGATGACAGGAATCGCTACGGGAATGTTAGGGATGTAGTCCGTGGAAAACTGAGTGAGCTCCAGTCGTTTCCCTAAGCGGAAGTCACGGGATTTTTTCCGAAAACTTCCTACCCGTTTCCAGGTGGATATGAAGGTGAAGGCGGGGAAAAAATCCAGTGATTTCCAGTCTGCAATACTGCTTTCATGAAATCTCTGGAATGGTTCGGAACCGGCCGTTTCCGTCTTGGATTGTTCAACCAAGGAAGTTATCTGTCTTTTATAATTGTTATATTTTTAAAAGCTGCACGATGATAGAATGATTCGTCATGCGTTTCTAAATATTGGTGTTGGTGTTGGTATCGATGTGAATATGCATTTTTTTTGTAAACTCGCAAATGCTTTGAACTGCACGGACACGACCGCTCTCATCCACATATCCACATTTATTATCAAAAATTTTACCTGGATTGAAACAATGCCCAAAAGATACCAGTATTCCGACTAGTGGTGTGCTCGTCGGAATTGGTTGCCAAGTAGGCACCTTCTGCCGTCCAAAGTATCGCTGCACCAAAACCAAGTAAAATAGATGTAAGATAGAATGACCAGGTCATCGGTAATAAAAATGAAAAAACATAGAAGCTATCAATAATAGGAATTGAATGTGTTGCAATAACAATGGCAGCAGATACTTACAAATAGGTAGATGCGCCAATGAACATAGACACAGGTGCTCCAAAGATGAAGACAAATGCGGGAGCCAAGATATTGGCTATCGTTGCACACACGTAGACAATAGCAAGACTACGTTATAAAGTATGGTTAAAATTTATCGTCTAATGTACAACGTCTCAATTATACTCAAAATCTTATTTCACAAAAGTTGTGATCTGTAAGTGTTAACTAGAAAAAAGTGTACTTTCACTAAAGGCACATCATTTTATCTTGAGAATTAAGCAAAAATATTTCGCTCGATTCATTATATTTTACATTCAGCGGATACATTGTTGAATTATTTTTGAATTTTCTCAATATATGTCTTGTGATCGACAAATGTTGATCTTTCGAGTTTGCACTTTTTACAATTACTATTACACCTATAAAAGACTTGTTTTTATATTTAGGAGGGATAAAACGGAGCAAAGTATTGCTACTGACTGAATAATTTCACAAATATTCAACATCGACTTCCAATGAGCAAACCACTTCTAGAAATCGAAAGCATCAAATCTTATTGTATACAGCTATATAACATAACTGTCTCAAAGAAATCCTAAGGATATCTTATGTATTATGCACTACTACTGACTCACCTAATGTAGCCACTGCCCTGAAAATCATTTCCATTGGTTGTTTCATTCTTGACACCTTCAAGTACACTTTGCTATTAGTTGTTAAAAGATATGAGTTCAAATTTCGATCTATATAACTGAATCCTACTTCGACTAAGCCGGTTGCCTGAAATGCTGTGAACAGAATCATGAAGGCTGAACCTAGCACCAGAATGTTTATTAAACTACCACTCATATTTTCTTGAGCAACACCAACTATCTATAGCAAAACTGAAATCAGTAACTCTCAAAAAATATTATTCACGTGAAAGGAGATAAGAACATAACAAACAATTACATCTCTTATCGAATGTTTATTACCTGAGGGTGTGGGTTTAATTTTCGTTTTTTTTGTATAAAAAAAACTGAAAATAAATTTAACAAGAATGATCGTACTTAACATGATAAAATAAAAATACCTTTTGGCTTTCCTTTAAGATACTATTAAGGAAAATCAGTTAAATTTATTGACTTACGGATCATCTTTTAAAAAAATCTATACATGATATTGTTAAAATGAATTTCTTCTACATCGAATATATGGAATTTATAGAGATATCAAGAAATAAAAACTTTCGAATTCATCTATAATGAGGGTGGGGGCCTCGATTTCAGAGGATTTCCTGGAATTTCGACAGTTTTTCCGATTTTTGCTAGATTTCTGACAATGAAAAAGATTGTCGAAATTTCAGTTTATCTCGGTGAAGGTGTCAATTTAGAATAACAGAATATCCTTGAGGTACTAGCAACCACTATTAAAACAATAAACATTCGCGAATGTCTGTTAGAATGAAACGATCAATAAATAGAGTTATTTTTTGTTTCTATATGTACAATTCAGAAGAGAATATATGTGTTTTTGTCATATTGCTTGATCTTGTTTTACTCGAAATATATCATATTTGATGCCTATAGAAAATTTATATTCATTTTTTGATTATGACGACAAATGTCATTGTAACAATTTACTTCGTGAATATCAATATTCATCATTTATCAACGTTTACGAAATCAAAAATATTTCGTTATTTGTGTGTAAATGTACTTCCATATATATATGATGTTATATGGAATCATTGAAGATAAATGCTGATTTTGTTGGCAGTCGTAATTGTTTATGACCTATATAAGTTCGTTACATTTACATGCATTACAGGTATGTTTTATTTATTTGAGCATACGGCAGTATAGTTCACAGGTTGTACACTTCTTTGACTAGCCCATCATATAGATAATTTTTTCTCTTAAAATAGTTTATGAATTTTTTTTTTATATCAGTTTATAGTCAGATTTGTTCGAAGAGAAAATTTTATTAATGTTCGGAAAATCATCGAAGAATATTATCAAGTACATTAATGATCTTTCAACGAATTTACTATATAAGATGGTACGATTGTCATACAGATACTTCCTTCAAAACACAACGTAGATTGAGATGAACACAATTGATTTTATTGAATGTCTGTCTAAAAGCCAACAACATCACCGTACACAGATCAATTATAGTGATAGGTGTGACAACCGTCTACGGTGACCGTTTACTGCAATTATAAGCGATGCTTTACGACGCATCAGTGACCGGCATAGATTAAGTTTTCATGATCCGATCTGAGGCCAAGTATTCTTCTCGTAAATTGGTTTTACTCCAAACGTTTTCAGAATTTATTTTTCTATGAATCCTGTTAAATATATCTCATTATCAAACGGAAAATGTTAGGCTGAAGGAGGATACCTATCTAAGGATGAGAGTGACAACAACATTTAGAGCAGATGATGATAGTTGACTCTTTAGCATTATAATTCTGTTTTGGTACAGATAAAATGTATTATACCTTAGTTATTAATAGATGAATCCAGATAAATTCGATGATTTAAATGAATTCTGCAGCCATTCTTGTACACTAACAAATTTTTGAGGTCATGAGTGTGGATATGAATGTGGTTAAATAGCACATCCACACCATCTGACTATTGGAACATTTCTCTTTGGTAGTTATGGACTAACTGAGACTAGACTATTCACGATAAGTGCTTCGAATCACTGGTCCATTAAAATGCTTTAGATATCGCGGAGTACATTTTTTGTTCTAATTCATTCTAATGAAATATTTTCTAGGAACGGTCAGTATGTTGATAGTAAGTGTATATGAGTTGCTCAATGAGGGATAAAAATTCTCCGTCAAGAAAGCCTTCTGCTCATAGCATCGTTTGGTGACATTAGCTAGATGCGTAGTCGTCTTTGAAGTATATCATCTAGAGGAAAAACACCAGATCTATCGATATTGACTCATTAGCACTCTAAAGCCGCAAATATAAGAGAAAAGATAGGCTATCCTCTTTTTCACCAATCACTCTCACACTAATGCCATCCATCATTAGTCAACTCTCAAATTCATCGCTACATCGGACCAATTCTCATACAGTGGAAGGTTAAACCGGTAGTGGTATACATAGAATTCACTAGACCTTCCGTTTTAAAAAGTCTAATCTGTACGCACTGATTTCGTAGCAGTCGACCACGAGCCAAAATATTTCTTATGAAACCTTGAAATTGTTTTTCATGAAAAACTCACTTACATCTTTACTTTTGCTGTCATCTATTTTTTTATAGTGAGTTTTACAGAGTTTGCTTATGGAATTAAGGAAGAAAGATTCTGCAGCTGCCTTTTTTCACTCATTCCATCATGGCCACATGCTCAAGGTTGTGCTTTCGGTAGCATTCTTTTCTATTCTATTTAGAAGAAAAAGCATTGTATGCAGTGAAGACAATGTTATTTGATTAAATTTTTCGAGCGGCATCAGTTTACATAGGTATTTTGTTGTATCGCACTTGTGTATGTGCTTTCTTTTCTGTCCTTGCAAACTGTCATAACAGTGTTATTATGGTAGAATCAACATAAATATAAACATGAAGATGAATGTAAACTGCAGTCATTTTTTAAAATTCCATGCACACTGATAGCTAGCACGAGAAATCAAGGCTGAAATGCTCGATTTCTTGGCACCACCGAAGAGCCCCATCAAGTTCTGCTGCCTTTGTAAGTCTTTACGCTAAGCTCAATAGCACACTCCAATCAAAATGACGAAAACCGCTCAAATCATAGTTCCGTTACTTGAAGCTGATTCTTACCGTTTTATTCAAGCTGCCATCACTGAAGACTACAGTCTGGCGGGAAGTTTTGCGGCAATTTGAGTGATCAATATGATGATATGGTATGACAGGGATTTAGTTCATGTACAGAGAGTATGTGTATCACGGAGCAATTTGTTGGAAAGTCAGGTGTACGAACTTTATTCACCATTGAATACACTAGCGGCAAAGCTATCCAAGCTCATTCACACTACAATGAATAAAGTAAGATCTTTTTTTTTTGCTTGGTACTTACTTTAGTGTTGTGGATAAGTGAAGTCTAGCTAAGGATTATTACATCATTCATTTGCAAGAAACACCTGCACCACGATAAGCAGTTAAACAAAATGTTGCAATTTCGCAAGGAACAGGTTTACATCAAGTGCTTCTGCATCTGGAATATCTGTCAAACCAAAAAGTAAGCAATTTTTTATTCTACTGGGCATATTTCTGTACAGAATTCGAGCAGTCATTCTATTCCGCAATGTTGCAGATTTCAGAACCAATTTCGCCTACAGAATCAGTTTCATTCAATTCCAGAAACTCGATCATCACTCAATGAAATAGGCCTAATCGATATTAATCGAGTCCCGCCAATTCCCAGAATCCCAAGACTCACTTCCAATTCCAGAATTCCGTCTCGAAATTACGTACTTATCTCAGTGACTAACCTTTCGCCATACCACACTGCATTAGGGTAATGGCAAGAAGTAATTCCGATAGGGAATTCCGGGATTCTGGAATTAGGTTAATGCTTTATTTGTTAAAGTTACCATGTTTATGAGAGTGTTTGTAATTTTAGAATTAGACGGAATTCGTGAAAATTCTGAGTATGACCGTCTCAACTCAATTTCCGAAATTCCAAGAATTGATGGAACTCGATCGACATCGATTAGGCCTCTAATATTGAGTGATTAATTCTACATTTATACTCCTCAGATCAAACTCGCATTAATGTTTTACATCCAACTTTTAGCTCGATCACAACAACTTAACGATTCTGACGATAACACATTTATTCCTTGCGAATATTGCAAATAAGGAATTCCATCGCACTCTTATAAGAACCATACGATAAGTTTAGGAATTAAACTTCATATTTTTTTATTCCTATCGATTAGAAAGCTTGCTGTGAAGAATACTATAAACAACTACAAGAAAAGACACGGCTAGATTATGTTCTAAAAACTAGAAGATATTGGAATTTTGTCGGTTATTTCAATGCAGTAATCAACAACCAGCGTCTGCTACTACTGCTCAATGTATCCATTGTCAATCGCTAAAGTCGCTCGAAGATCTCGCCTATCATCAGGTAAAACTTTTTATTTAATCCATACTCAATTTTACATTACTTCATCATATAGCTGTTGTGCAGAATGAATCCTCAACGCTGGAGAATTTATTGATTGAATTCGGAACAACTATTTTTTTCCTTGGATTTTTAATTCTAGCAACATAACTGATCAAACACATCAACCAATAGTAATGTTTATAGAAATAATTAACCTTGAAAAATAATTATGCGATTGTTATTGTTGTAGAAAGTAATGGACATGCACATAACAATTCATGTATAAAATCGTCAAGATTTTCAATTAGATTTCAAATAGAATCAATAGATTTTATTTTATAATAGAGTTCGTTAGTTTTTTTCTCTAAGTATGGTTTGTATATTATGATTTCAAAACAATTAACAATATTCCATATGAAAGTAACAAAGATAAACTGCAAACATGTTTTACATTCTTTCTAATATTTCTATTGAAATGAATTAGTTAATTATTTTTCATTTGTTTCTCGTCTAAAACATCATTTTAAAAACTGTGTATTTTTCATATCCAAATCATAGTTGAGTAACAACAGTTTTACGAGAGAAGTGTTCCAAGTAATAAAGCGCTTTTGAGTGGAGACTATGCACATTGTGTAGATGCAAATGAGTTATGAATACCTTGAAACGAATTCAGATCGTTAGCTTATTTCTGTGGAGATATTTCTTTTTTTACGGTAGCTTTTACATGAATGCTGTAATCCCGCTTAAGAAGACGAGGAAAACTGAGTTTTGAATTTCAGTCTGAAACTGCGCGTAGAGATAGACCTTAATGAGAATGGTTCATTATAAAAGTTTCAGATCTTTTGACTGCTTCTCTTCAAAGATACGTCTATAGTAAAAAAAATATTTTTCACATCGTTCATATACAACAGCAACGTCCGATGTGCTTATTTAAGAATAGGGGCAATAAAAAGCTTTGAAACTTTCACAACAAGTTTTTCTCGTTCAAACCAGTCTCTATGCAATGTTTCAAGCCGAAATTCTAAACTCAATTTTTCTGGCACTCCTAAGAAAAACTATGGTATCCTCTTAAAAAATATGGTAAAAATACAGTATATCGGTAGAAATAAACTATTAATCCCAACTTAATAAGCGATTTGACACTTAAAAACGTTTCCTTGTGAAATTTATTCGGATTTATAACATTTTCTCATTGTGTTCATACTTGATTATGATGATATTCTTTATTCTCACTCTCAAAATGTTTCTCTTTCCTAAACTTCATTTCATAGCAATACGTCTTCCCGAGCTAGAGAAAAATATTCCAGAATTTATTCGTAACACATCTACAAGGATTCTTCCATATCCGTTTTTTGATTTACTTAGTTGACGACTAGTACTTTTTTGAGTCACCACTCTTGAATGATGTTCTGATTGATATGATTTGCTTACAATCATAGAATATTTAACCATAATCTCTAGTTTTGATTGGGACATTTTTTTCTCGTAGTTCTGGAAACGAGACTAAAATTGGTCTCGCATATTTCTAGTACGGTTGCTATGCTATAGTTTTATTCTAGTGACTGAATTTCTTCTTCACATTGATTAAGATTTATTTTATAAAAAGAAAAAGGTCAGTTTAAAAAATGAGGAGTTGCCACAAGCTAATGTATCTCATCTCTTATTATGTATAATCAAAATTACGCTAGTTTTTAAATTGCAAACTTTTAGACGAATCCTACGATAAAGTCTAAGACTCATAATTAGGAACAAACGAGAAAAGTGTAGGACAAGCTTTAAGATTTTCTTTCCAATTTATGTTACATATTTGTTTTTATTGATTTTAAGTTTTTCAGATAAGAAAATCATTCAACTTAACAAGAAATAAACATGAACGGCAACGTAAGTTCATAATCAGATATGATCGAATGGATTTTGATTTATGTCAAATACATTCTTTGTACTTTTTCATTATTGAATTCTTCTCTAGGGGCAAGTTAACGATGTACGACAGCTTATTTCATGTTCGTTTTGCGGCGAAAAATTTACGTCAACAAAAGAAATGAGAGATCACTTGTTGATGTGTGGCAAGAAAACAGATCAGTGTCTGAAGTGTAAAAAATTTATTCGACGAGCTATGTTTGCTTATCATCATGGAAAAAATTGTACCGATTCGGATTCAATCGATAATAATGTTAATTCTACTGTCGATAAATCTATTACTTTATCAACATTGCAGCCTACTAATTTGTCACAATTTTCAACAAAATCAATTGTTGATCATGAAAAGCATATTACAACAACATCAGTTGATTTTGAAACAGTTTCAAACAGAGAGAATATGCCATTCCAACGATCATATTCAGGTAGGCTTTAGAACTATTTGCATTATCTACTGTGAAATTTTTATGAAGAAATACGGGAACCTATCTTATGTCCATTTTGTAATTGTGACTGTGAACCAGTTGACTGTGAGGTGCATCAGGTGAGCACTTTAAAAAACTTTAACTCTTACATGAGAAATAAAATTGTTCTTATTTGGTATTTGCAGATATTTTGTCTTGAGAATCCAAAAAAAGTCGGTAAAAGACGTCCGATATCCACTGATGGATATTCGAATCAATATTCAGGTGTTATGACATATAGATCATATTCTTATGATTTGAATTTTGTTTCCAGATCGATTGTATCATGACGACCAATCGACTGATACTGCTCTTATTCGTTGTGAACTTTGTAGAAAATCGATTGAATGGCAACTTTTTGAAGAACATATCGTAAATTAAATAACTGATTCCTACTTTTATTGTTTTTCATTTAACAGAATTCTTGTGTTGAGCAAGAACATAAACGAAGACACCAACAATCCAGGTTCACTCGTTAGTCTTATTTTTCTAGAATGCGACTTTTGTCATCTCTTAGAACCATCTATCAGGACAACAATAATCGTCTTGGTCGACGCAAGTCTTGTAATGAAGAGCGTTTCGTAAATTTTCTTAGTCTTCATGAGGTTAGAGTTCTACTATACTTTTATATTCTCATTTTTATTAACTTCTGATGCAGACACACTGCCCAAAATCTTTTATGGTAAGTTGAGCAACCGATTTCTACTCTTGTTGTCTTTCATTTAACAGAATTTGGATGCTGAGCAAGATCGTGAACGAAGGTAAAAACAATCAAGATTAATTCGTTAGCTTTATTTTACTAGAACGCGTCTTTTGTCATCGTCTAGATTCATCCATCAAGACAATAATAATGGCATTGGTCAATGTAAATATTGTAATGCAGAGCGTTCGGTGGATGTTCTCAGTGCTCATGAGGTCAGAGTTCTTCTATAATATTATATTCTCATTCTAATTAGCTTCTAATATAGGATTTATGCCAAAAATATAGAAATGCTTTTGTTAATAGATCATAGACAGATCTATATCGCTCGCCATCATTTTCGAATTGACTTATTCAACCAAATCAATTCAGAATTCTTGATTCTTATACAAAAAAAAAAACTGTTTTGCGGAAGTTCTCCTCGAATCAATATCAGTCGAAAAGTTTTTCACTAATAATAAATAAAAACTTTTCTATAAAATCTAAACTGTCATTGTGATATATATAGCGAATCAATTAGTATTTGTATCGATTATATTTAAATATGCCGATTCTTCTATTGTTTTTTTTGAGTGTTGTTCAAAATCATACTGGAATAATTTGGAATATTAATAATACGAATCGAACATAGTACTACTGTATGGTGAGTATTTTGAATAGTTGAATTCGATCATTTCATGGTTGTTGACTCATTACAGAGAACGCCACAGGATTTGCATCGTCCTGCCCTACACCTCTTCGATTTTGTCCTGCATTGCTTACCCCAATGCAGAAGCAAGACAATCCTTTTTTAGACGCAGAACCTGCAGGACGGTATGGAAAACAGCACAGAAATAAATCAGTTACACAAAGAATTTGAGGTTCATAGCGATTTCAATAAAGTATTTACTTATGGATTGTAGATCGATGAGCAGTTATAACGTGGAAAACCTAATAAAATCAACACTTCTTAGACATAATTTTTGCTTTTGTTGTATCTATATTGTTATTAATAGTAATAGCAGTTTTTCAAATTTTAGCGAAATCTATTGCATAATTTTTATTTTTTTCTAATTGGTGCTCGCTGGTCAAAAAGAAAACAGAGTTTCAAGTAATAAGATTAAAATAATAGAAGTATTTATATTCAAAATATTTCACCTAATAGTTGAAGTTGATTTTTACATATTTTTATATTTATTTTCATTAAATGAATTCCAATAATGATCTAGTTTCAATATCTTCACCTCAACCGGAAGAATATTGACTTCAATCAACTAAAACTATTTCACCTACAATGTCAATAGAATCAACAATTGATGAATCAATTTTTGTCGACTCGATTGATAGTCTATCCTTGTATCTTAACGCTTCTTCTGCTATTCTTCTATTCTATTCATCTAATGGATCTCAGTACTATTTTCTATTCATTTCATTTTTGTTACAAAATGTGACACTGAGATTTTCTAGTAAACTCAAATGTTTTTTGTTCATTTCATTTCACGTCTGTCAGGAAGGATATGATTAGATTACTTAATAGAATCATTATAAGCGACTTTTATATAAAGAGCATTTGTATGATACTTGACATCATATCTCACATTTACACAATACTTTACCTTTTTTGAAGCTTGCAGGACGCAGAACAAATTTTTGTCCTGTAAGTGTGTCCTGCAATCCATCCTGTGACGTTCTTTGTTAGTCACAACAGTTAGCATAACAATATATTTTTCAGTTACAAAAGATTGAACGTTTAGTTGTTTGCTTAAGAAAGCAAATCAGCTGCATACAACACATTTAATCTTGTTGAAAAGAAAACGAAGTCCTATTTAACTCAGTGAAAATAGTCCAACAAAAACGAGCACTTTTGTCTAGCCTTCTCTTCTGAAAGAACTACATATTTCTTAATTTTGAGGTTATCCCTATAGAGATAAAAATATATGGCTTATTCATTCTATAATAATTCTAATAAATATCATTTAATACAATCAAGCAATTAGTATAGAGTTATCCTGTGAATTGTCTTATTTATTCTCGAGTTTGCATGCTTTTATACCAATCTTGTGTTATTTCCTTGTTTTGATGATCAATATTTCTAATATGAACCGATAGTAAAGAACACATCAAACACTAATTAATGGAGAATGTTCAATTGAAAACAGAATATTTTAGCGATAATGTTTCGTATATGGTTAATATAGGATCCATTTTTATTATGAATAAATGCGACGAATTCTTTTTCGTTAGATGATGATGCAGTTTGATACAGAGAAAAAAAACGCTTCGTTAAAGGTTGACGTTTATTTTTATCAATCACATTTCGAAAGTGTATTATCAGCGATATGATTTGTTTTGAGTTACATAGTACTAATATGATCAGTAGAGTAAAAAATAAGATATAATAATAGAAATGGGTTTTTCAACAGAGATCGAAATGTAATGTGAGAACTAAATAAAATAATTCTCTAAGATTTATTCTAGAATTTTATAGATTTGGTTTTTTTTTT